GTAGACTCTAGTTGTGTGAGACTTAGTGGTGGCCGATTCCACAAGAAAGTATACTACTCTCTCAAAGTTTTCCAAACGTTTGTGGTGATTTTTGATTCCATTTGAGGCATTCACACTATTAGTGCTTGGCTCTCAAACTCCAAACAATCAACCACTATCAAAAGGTATGTATTTCTACAAGTAGTTTTATGATTCATAATCCTTATGCTATGCTAGTTAGGAAGAAACCTTGGAAGTTATTATTTGCATGCATTTTAGAAGAAAACATAGATCCAAGGTTTATTAGGGTTGCATGCACACTTAGGAAGTGTTAGATTGCTCAAAACCCAACAAGTGCTACCCTCATCTTCGTCCTTATAACAATCACAAGATGGACTTTTGGTGCACTTCTTGCGTCTTTTTAGGGTATAGCACTTCTCACCTTGGCTATCGTTGTCTTGATCCATCTTCTGATCGCATTTACATAGCCCGTCATGTAAGCTTCAATGAAAATATTTTCCCATTCACTTCTAACCCCACTCCGTCTCCCGTCGTGAAAGAACCTTATGTCTCATCCTATCCTGATCCCCACAACATACCACCTCTAAGCACTACACCACACATCCATAACCACAACTCACCCACACAACAACCTCCTACACTCAATACTCCACAACCTACCGATCCTCCTCTCTAAACATACCAACGCAAACGTCAACCTTCTTTTGACTCCCAACATGTTCCTTTTTCATCAGCCTATGAGACCTTCCAGCAATCTACCTCGGCTTCTTCCGTTTCCGATAGCACCCCACCACAACATTCAACCGCAACACAACCACCGCCCACCACTAACCTACCACCCCCTATCCTCACTCGTACCCATCCTGCAAACTTAATACAACACCTGAAACCAACCAAACCATTCTCTAGCGAATCGTTTTACACAACCACCAACTCTCATATTCTTGAACCAAAATCCTTTTCTGTTGCCAACAAGGATCCTCAATGGCATCATGCCATGGTAGAGGAGTATTCAGCTCTCTTGAGAAACGGTACATGGACCTTGGTACCTCCTGTTTCTCATACAAATGTAGTCGATTGTAAATGGGTTTATAAGGTTAAACACGATCACACAGGCACAATTACATGGTACAAAGCTCTCCTTGTGGCAAAGGGTTATAATCAACAAGTTAGTATTGATTACACTGAAACGTTTAGCCCGATTGTTAAATCTAGAACAATTAGAGTTGTTTTGTCTCTTGCTGTCACCAAGAAGTGGTCTCTTCACCAACTCGATATTCAGAATGCCTTTTTACATGGTAACCTAAAAGGGACAGTATATCTACGACAACCACCTAGTTTTGTTGATCCACAAAAACCAGATCATGTTTGCCTTCTTCATAAGTCCTTATACGGACTCAAACAGGCACCGAGGGCGTGGTTTCAACACCTTTCATCAGCTTTGATGACTTTGGGGTTCCGAGGATCGAGAACAGATCCCTCTCTATTTATCTACTCATTTAACGACACACTTCTATACATGTTGGTTTACGTTGATGATATCATTTTAACAGGAAAACAATTCCCGTGAAATTGATCATGTGGTTCACAGTCTGAGCAAGTCTTTTGCGGTCCAAGATATGGGTCCGTTAACATACTTTTTGGGCGTAGAAGTTCAACGTCATGGTTGTGATTTATTACTATCACAACGCAAGTACATTATGGACCTGTTATAGTGTGCTAAACTATCCAAATCAAAACCGGTTCCGTCTCCTATTACAACCACGACCCATCTTGCTCCTGGTGACAGCCCGCCTCTTGATGATCCTGTGAAATATCGCCAACTGGTAGGCGCCCTACAGTATGTAACCCTCACATGCCCTGACATCACTTATGCGGTTAACAAGGTGTGTCAATTTATGCATTCTCCTACAGAAAACCACTGGACAACAGTGAAACACATATTACGATACTTGCACGGAACCTCAAACCATGGTTTACGGATTACTCATCAATCGGATCCTATCTTACATGCCTATACTGATGCGTCATTTAATTCTTTAAGCGCCTTTTCCTATGCTGATTGGGCTGGTTGCCCAGATGACTGTCGATCCACAGGGGGATTTGCTATCTATCTCGGATCTAATTTAATCTCTTGGTCTGCAAGAAAACAAAAGACTATCTCAAGGTCCTCCATTGAGTCTGAATACAAGGCCTTAGCTGATGCAGTGGTTGAACTAACTATTACGAAGATCACAAAATAAAGCTTATACATGTATAGTCTTAGCTGTCATCTAACAGTACATAGGTTGTCATATTAGTATTAATGTTTTCCTGTAATAGCTCCTCAATTAGCTCATTTCCATGTATGTATTATTGGCTATAAAAGCCACTGTAAAGATCAATAATAATATAAGCATTTTCCAGTATCACCAATACCTTCATATGGTATCAGAGCCTACCAAAGCTCCCCTGAGCAACTATCGTTCCTTCTTCTAAACCCTTAAAATCACTCATAAATCAACAATGGCTGCAACTATTCAGTTGACTGCCGCCACCCACTTTCCTATCAAACTCACTTCTGTCAATTTTCCTGTTTGGCGCAAACAAGTTGAATCTACCCTCATCGGCCTACAACTCGAAACATTCATAGATGGCAGTCAAGAACCACCAAAGAAACAAATTGAAGACAAAGATGGAAAGAAGACAAACCCAGAATATTTACCTTGGTTTCGCCAAGACCAAATCATCATCAGTGCACTCCATGGAAGTTGCTCTGAATCAATTCAACCACTCATCTCTTCTGCCAGCACTGCTAGAGAAGCCTGGGTATGACTAAATTCAAGCTACGCTAGCGCCTCAAGGTCACGAATTATTTCCTTAAAATCTAAATTAGTGAAGAACCCCAAAGGAAATCGATCAATCACTGATTTTCTTCAAGATATGCGGTCTATTGCTGATGACCTAGCCCTAACCCAAAACCCAATTTCTAAAGAAGATCTCATGGTGCATATCATGTCCCAATTAGGCGATGAATATGCTAATATTGTCGCAGCCATAAAAGTAAGAGAAACCGCCCTATCTTACTCTGAATTGTTTGAGAAGCTAATCGATTTTGAAAGAGGACTCAACGAAACTTCACACTGTCCGACATCCTCCCTGATCACCGCCAACTACACTTCTCGACAATCAGGTCGCCAATATACACAGGGCCCACCTCAACGTACCCAAAAACCTAATCTCAATACCCAGCAACGAGGCCCAATTTGTCCTCCATGGACTAACTCTCAATCCAACAACAATCGCCAAAACCCAAACCGCAGCTCCACTTACTGCCACTATTGCAATATCCCAGGTCATCCAACAAAAGAATGTCGCAAGCTATCCAGGTTCCTTCGTGAAAACAACATCTCAATCACTGCCAACCCAACACCACTCCCTGTTGCAAACGTGACCACCACAGACCCTACCACATCGCAACCTACCTGGTTGTTTGACATCGGAGCCTCCAACCATGTCACTTTTGACCCCTCAAATCTTCACTCTGTCTCTAAATACGGGGGACCTGATGAAATTCAACTAGGAAACGGTACATCACTACCAATTTCACACATTGGCTCAACACACATAAAAACATCATTTACACCTCTTTCTTTACCTGATATTTTGTGTGTTCCAAACTTAAAAAGAAACCTTATTTATGTTGCTAAACTATGTAAAACTAACATGGTTTCTGTTGAATTTTTCTCCTCTCATTTTATTGTGAAGGATCTTCGCACGGGGGCGTGTCTACTACGGGGGGAGAACATTGATGATGTTTATCACACCACCATCTCATCTTTACATCAACTAAACTTTAGCACTACCAAAAAGTCGCTTGATTGGCATCACAAGCTAGGCCATCAATCCATCAAAGTCTTCAAAATAATTGTTTCCAACCTAGGTCTTAATTCTAAAATAATGTTGAACTCCAATGTTCATTGTTCTTCCTGCACGGTTAATAAAAGTCATAAATTGCCGTTTGGGCCAAATTCTTTTGTTGCCACCAAACCTTTACAACTAATTTACTCAGATGTATGGGGTATAGTTAAACAATCCATTAATCACTTCACTTATTATGTCATATTTGTTGATTTCTATTCCAAATATGTCTAGCTTTTCCCAATGCAACACAAGTCTGATGTTGCTAAATTCTTCCCTCAATTTAAAATCTTAGTTGAAAAAATCTTCAATCAACAGATTGTATCCCTTTTCACAGACAATGGAGGAGAGTACATTGGCTTACTCCCTTTCTTACAATCTCATGGAATATCCCATTACACAACCCCACCACATGCGCCTGAACAGAACGAGATAGCCGAAAGGCGTCATCGACATGTAGTTGAAACGGGTTTGTCCCTGCTCCACTATGCTAAAATACCACTGGAATACTGGTCCCATGCTTTTCAAACCGCAGTCTACCTCATAAATCGTCTACCTACACCTACCCTTGCAAACAAAAGTCCCTATTAGGTTTCCTTCAATCAAACTCCATCCTACTCCAAACTAAAACCATTTGGCTGCCTCTGTTACCCATGGCTCAAACCATATACCACCTCCAAACTTCAACCTCGCTCCTCACCTTGTCTATTTATTGGCTATTCCACTTCTAAATCTGCATACAAATGTCTCGGCCTTACCACCAACCGCCTTTATCACTCTCGTCATGTGCAATTCATCGAAGACAGCTTCCCATTTCATGAGCATTCACACTCCTACACCTTGCCCACAGCTCACGAATTCCATCCAGGTTCAATAATTCCCTCTTCAGTCTCAACCACCTCATCCTCTACCCCAACGACTCTCCCTATCCTACCTCAACCACAAACATCCTCCATCCCAGATCCATCACTCTCTCCTACAAATTACCCTCACTCACCACCTATCACCACCACACCTCCTACGGACCAACACTCCACCCCCTCCTCAAATCACGTCTCACCTAATTCTCCCTTCCCTAACTCACCTTCACCCATACTTACCTACTCTCGCTGGCCACGCCACCCATCTGCTCCTTCCCCATCCACTCCCTCTCCTACAACAACATCTGAATCGCCTCCACTCATACCAAACATATCCCCAGTGTCCCCACCTTCACCAACACCTACAAAAAGAAGCCGCAAACCCAACACAAAATACTTCAACTCTAACTTTATCAACACTACCACTCTTCACCCTCTTCCTCTAACTATTGAACCCACCACTCTCAACCAAGCCATGAAAGACCCTAGGTGGCGTGCAGCCATGGATCACGAATTCAATGCACTCATGCAAAACAGAACTTGGGAGCTTGTTCCTCCCCACACTCAATAGCCAATCGGTTGTAAATGGGTCTTCCGTGTCAAACGAAACCCTGATGGTTCCATTCAAAAATACAAACCCGACTTGTTGCAAAGGTATTTCTCCAACAATTTGGAAAAGACTACTTTGAAACCTTCAGTCCTGTTACTAAACCTATCACCATTCGTACCATCCTCTCCATTGCTCTCTCCCAGAACTGGCAACTATGACAGCTGGATGTTAATAATGCCTTCCTACATGGCACTCTCCATGAACAAGTCTTCATGACTCAACCACCTGGCTTTGTGCACCCTCAATTTCCAAATCATATCTGCAAGCTATGAAAATCTCTCTATGGGCTTAAACAAGCCCCACGAGCATGGTACATGGAACTTACCCAATTTCTGCTTAATTCTGGTTTTCGCAAATCAATGGACGGTGCTTCCCTTTTCATCTACAACCACAATGGAATAACATGTTATTTCATGGTCTATGTGGATGACATCGTCCTAACCGGAAACAATCCCTCCTTTCTCAATCACTTCACTAAAACTCTTGCCACTCAATTCCCCATCAAAGACCTTGGACCTCTTCCTCACTTCTTTGGAATTGACACTACTAGAAAAACAGCCTTTTACGATGCTCATTGCGCATCATAAAGGACTCAGACGACGCGCAAATGGGCATCAAGGAAGACCCTGTCATAAAGAGAAATGACGCGCTTTTGCATGTCGTCTATAGACGACACGCATTTACGACGCTCATTTACAACGTGCAATTACGACGCGCGTTTACGACACGCAATGCGTATCAAGAAAGCCCTTGTCATAAAGGAAGACGACATGCATTCGCATGTCGTAACCTTACGACACGCGTGTTAGTGACACGCAATGCGTATTAATAAATCCCCTGTCGAGAAAGGCCATGTCATAAATGAAGATGACACACATTTTTGCGTATCATAATTTTAAATGTTTAAAAAAATTATTTATAGATTTACTAATTTTCAAATTAAATTCCCATTTCATGTCTCCTACTAGAAAATAAAATACCATATACAAAAAATATAATACATTGCACAAAAGTTAATGTCATACAAATAATCATTCTAATAGTAGACAAATGGATAAATCTCAAAGGGATCAAAAATATGTTTGTCTTCTAATAGAACTTATACACAAGAAAGTACTAAATTTTCTATTGATCCTATACACAAGAAGGTGTTTGAATTCAGAAAATGTCCCAACAACTGAATTGGCCCCGGAAGCTTGTGGTTTGACTGCAACTGAGATAAGGATACCATGTTTACTCTTCTTAAGCTTACTAAACAAACTTGACAATAAGATAATATAAAACTGAATTAAGATTAAGCCACAGATGCACTCAAGCTATACATACCAATGGCGATGGTCTTTCATCAGTTGCATGTGGAAACCCACTACCATAAACAAAAGTATCAAAAAACTACTTTATTCAAAAAAACTCATGTTACTATTGTAATCATAATAAAACACACCGATTATGTATAGTTTTATACAAGAAGTGTTCCAGATCATTATTTTAGTAATAATGAATAAGAGAGGATACATTACTTACTTTATACTGGAATACTCAGCGAAATCTTTTCTTAAGTTGTGATACGGTTCAGCCAATGAAGGTTCCATAATTACACCAAGGTCCGATGAATCTATGATGAAATATTACTTAATTAATTTTCCAACAAGACAGATTGACTCTTTCTGATATAAAAAAATCACTGATAAATTTAGAAACAAGTATTCAACAGTTATTAGTCCAAATATTTAAGATGTGTTTACTTTCGTATAAACTATTTATTTCTTTTATCAATGCTTGAATTGCCAAGAAATTGCAAAATTGGTCATGTAATTGTTTCAGTTAAGTATCTATCTATACCTTTGACAAAATTTATAACAAACATAAAGTTGCAAAATAGAGATGGAACTAGAACCAGAAATATTCACATTGTTGCACTTGTAGTCCTTTTCTCTTTCAAAAGGCCAACTCTCTTCTGCTCTCTCATCTACATCATTCAAACCAAACAATCAATGGAGGCAAATATGTAAAAAGTCGGGAATTAAAGGGTAAAGCCTAATTCCCCAGACTTTCTTTATTAAGCCATTCTTTGTGATTCAATTCAAAAAGGAACATTAATATATGGCAAGTTCTAGTAAGATAATCAAATTACCATTTTGTTACGGTGTAATCGAGCAGCCCGAGCTCCCTTCGTGGCATTGCGATTAGGTTTGTTGATCTTGCATCATCTATTCGACATTAGTTCTCCCTCAACTCAACTCGTTCTCTCTTATTTTCGGATACAGGTAACACCCGTCTGACACTAAAACCTTAACCAACTGTAATTTATATATGGTTCTCTCTAATCTTTCGGATACAAAAGAAATGACATTTTCAAAAACCTTTTAACTGTTGACATATATATTACCATATAAGCTCCAATTTTATGAATAGTTGTATCAAAAACTTATCATACCTGAAGTTATGAGTCTCAAGGCAGAACTTGGTCTTCCTAATTCAGATTACTGTCAACAAAGTACAAACATAACAAAAGTTGATTACAACCTAGATAGAATTAATATCTAGTTATTTTCAGAAAATAATATTGTATATCAATAAAAAAATGTTCAAAAATATAAAAAAACTAATGGAATAAAAGAATCACCCCCAACTTAAATGTTTATATAAAAAACTATATACCATAAAATCTTAACATAACATAATTAAATAATTGTTTTGACAACTTAAAAAATTTATATATTGTTGTGAACCACTTTCGGTTGGTACATGTATAGAGACCTTAGGTGGAGGAGGCTCACTTGCTTCATCATGATCATGAAACGTGTTGAGAAATGGATCATGTAAAGTAGTTTGTCGCACTGGTTGTGAAATGGATATAACACCATCACCCGATAACAGGTTTACCCAGGAGGTACTGTAATTTTTGGATTTTAGCGAATTATCATCAGTAGAAAAGGGATTGTTGTTTGCATCAAATGAGGGCAAAGGGTTGGTAATGGTAACGGTATGAGTATCTTGTTTGATTTTATTGATATGTTCCCATAACCTCATATCAGAAGCAAAAAGGTCTCTTCATGGAAGAGAAATTACAAGTATCTCTACCTATTATTACATACATAGCCGAACCAAAATAGCAATCAACTTCACAGAATGAAAAACCTTGGAACAAATAAAGTGAGATGATGGGAAGTAAAGTTGTCAATGTACGATACCTCACCAAGTGTGATAGGGGTTCTGGCTGACACAGCAGGATAGAATGTGAGTACAACCACACGAGTTAGAAAATCCAATTCGCCCTCCAGTTCTTCAAAATCATATAAAAATGGAAGCTTGGTTGTATCTTGGTCATGTACATGTGCACCTGCTCCTGTCACAGCCATATCCTCATCACTCACAGCTCCTGGTATGAGTATCACAATGCTTTTCCCATTAGCACACTCAGGAATAGAGGCTCCCTACACACAACCACAACCTTTGTTATATAACTACTACTTTAGGAATTAGCCTGATTTGGGAGAGATGAGCCAGACCGACCTCCACAACAAGTTTAAGCCCATCTAGATCACATCCAGTTCTCACATCAGCTCTTGATGGATATGTTGAACTATCTACACAAGAAGCTGACAAACATGACAAGGCTCTCCAAGATGGATAAAGACTTCCATTACATCTGTTACCTATGGACAAACCTGTACACCACAAAAAAAAAGTAAGATTGTATTATTATTATTATTATTATTATTATTATTATTATTATTATTATATATATATATATATATATATATATATATATATATATATAGCATTAGGAAGTACGACATGTTATGGTATGGTTACCCATATAAGGTCTTTCTGCTTAAAGCTAAGAAGCCTGCCTCTGTCATCAGAACTCGGCAAAATGTTTGATATGGTCCAACAAGCTTCTTTCTTAATACTATTTTTCTGTGGTTATTGGTCAACAAGTTGAGAAGACAAGTCAAAGCTATGACTTCAGTTTTACCCATCTTCACTCTTGCTGAACCATTTTCCTATCATTAATTAAGCTCATTATGAGCATAAACTAAGTGTTTTTATTAAATAGAAAAGAATTTGAAAATGTTTTTACCTGAGCAATGACTCCAGTTTCAATAGATATGTGGCAATAAGTTAATCTTTTACACCCATCTGTACAAAGGTCTTGAGCAATTCCTCCATACATAAAATTCTTTTCTCCAACAATTCATATTTAAATATCGTTTAGGAATATAACTAACTTTAGACACATAAGGCTTGGGAACAAATGTTTTTAAGAACAATTTGAAGAAAAGATACTAACCTTTTAAGGAAATTGTTAATCAGTGAACAAATATGGAGCTTAATAGACAGCTTGAAGACTACCTGGTGCTGATTCTGGCTACAATATAAACAATACTAATATTATTAGATGTTTCTTTTAATGTCAAAACAGATGCAAGACCAACTCTCAGGATAGGAACAACCAGGAAACAAAGAAGGGCTTATTAGTTAACTAAAATTCACAATTAAGGACGACTTTTACCATTATAGTAAACCCAAAATAAGTCTTTTTTTCCCAAAAGAGTAAACCCAAAATAAATCTTTGTTCTAAACCAAAATCTATACATATAACTTTCTATCAACATAGGTTTCATCCAAATCAAAATCAAAGCATTAGAACATTAAATATATAAATTATACTTGACTATTAAGAGAAAAAAAGATAGAAAACATGGTGATTTGGAAAGTACATTGGACCTTTCTTGACGGTGGGCCCCGCACCCGGGACCCATGAAGATATTAGGAAGCTTAGCACCCCTTTGTTCAGCATGCCACAGTTTTCACTTCGAAGACCATTCCAATCAACAAATAATAAGAAAAAAAGTCAAATACCCAAAAAAACATATGGTAAAAGCCAAGCTCAAAAGTTCAACAATCCACTTAATGATTATGCAGCATAGACCTTTTTCACAGTAGTAGCTATACAGCCTCTTAAAGAAGAGATCAAAATCAGCAATTGATTCGACTTTCAAGCTTTCACCATTAAGAATCCCAGAAGGGCTTTCAGAACCTGGACTTCGTGCTTTCTTACAATCCTGGAATGAGGAGTCCCCATATGCCTGGTGAATGTTCAACATACAGAGCAAAAGATAAGTGAATTGCATGGGTTCATAAGCATCTGATCTGACAAAACACAAAAGAAAGAAAATTTGATCAAATAACCTTAAATATGTTCCTGATTGTATACAAGGATCTGCTAGAGGAAGGGCCTGGAAGTTCATATTAAGCATATCATCACTTGGTGGGGAATGACTTGAAGAATCCAATGAGTGATTAATAATCTTGTTAGTTGTTAGACACAAAAACTAGTTATCATCCCCATTTCTGACAGGTCATTAGGTTAAAAGAAGTTCCCTAACTAAATTAGTCAAGTATTGTTTAAAGACTCAATGTCTGTGTCCATTTTACATGTTAGCCCGCCCAAATAATCTTAATAATCATGTTAGACACAAAAAATAGTCACCATCCTAGAGTATGATGGATCATTTGTATTAAAGTTTGATCATTTGGTTTATAGAAGAAGTTCCCTTACTATATTAGTCAAGTATTCGGTTCTTAGATTTGTCACCCGAAACAACAATTCGTGTTTGATTTGGAGAAGATGGAGATCATTTCAGGTAGTACAGGAACAAGCGGTGGGCAACCGGGCCACAGTGCAGAGCACACATCTCTAGGTCCCAAAACATACCTTTGGCGAATTAGATCTAATTGACAGACCATGGGATGGCAAGAAGTTGGAGATGTGGAGAACAGCGGTCGGTTGAGCAAGTCAACAACTATTGTTGAGAAGTGTCAAGATAAATATAAGTTCGGCCATGTAAACAAAAACATACCTTAATCATACTTAGGGCTTGTAAAGTTGAGCAGTCGTTGTAGTCTCCGGTGATGTGAGGTGAGCCCGAGGTCGCTGGTCGAAACAGATGAGTCGAGGTCGCCGGTGGAAAGAGATGACCTGAGGTCGCCGATAGGAGGTGAGATGAGGGAGCGAACATTACAGAGAGAACTCCTTAAAAAAGCCCTAGACAATGGTCCTTTCAATGGCGCGGTCTTTAACTTTTCTAATTTTTTTGAATTCGAGGTTTTAGATTTGGTCGACGCCAATAATGAGGAGACCTCGCGGATCAATTACGATTCACCTTCACTTTATCTTCTTTTTCTCCTCTTGATGATTTCAGACTCCGTCTCTACGAATTTACATGATATTTTTCATAAAGGAGTCTTTGTGGAGCATTGGGGTTTTTCTTTATTTCATAACCCTCGCACGTACTGGGTTGAGAGAAAACGAGAGAAGTGGAAGCTTGGATGAAAATAAAACCCTAGCACATGCTAGAGAGAAGGGAGGTGGCGATGGCTTAGGGTTTACAGAGAGACACAGGAGGTAGAGAATGAAAGGAAATGTAGAGAAGAGAGTATCAGAGAGGGGAGAGTGGATTGCAAGGATGAAAGATAGATACAAGATAGAAAAAACAAGGTGGGTTTTCAAAATTTTGGAGATTCTGTTTCCCCCCTTGTCTACTAAAAGCGCGTTTCATTAAAATTATAAAGCGACAGGTACAGACGACGCGCGTTTAAAATAAAGTGCCCTCCGTGTTTTTAATTTTTTTTCTTGAGACACTAAATTAAGGGCACGCAATAATGCGTGATGTAAGTCCTTAAATTTTTTGGAGAGATAACACTATTTTAAGGGCGTGTCCTTTTACGTATCATTAATCAGTGCGTTTCGTAAAAAGCACGTCATTAAAGGTCTGTTTTCTAGTAGTGTGAAGTCATTTCAACTCCAAATAGCCTCTTCCTCTCTCAACATCGACATATCCAAGACCTCCTAACTCAATTTCGCATGGATGGTGCAAAAGATGTCGCCACTCCCTTAAACTCATCAATTGTTCTCTCACCCGTCGATGGCTACCCAATCGTTGACCTAACACCTTACCGAAAACTTGTGGGCTCCCTACAATACCTTGCGTTTACCAGACCTAACATATCATTTGCGGTCAATCGTATCTCTCAATTTATGCATTCACCCACACAGACCCATTGGAAAGCGTTAAAAAGATTCATTCGCTACCTTCAGGGTACCATTCATCATGGTCTATTTCTAAACAAAGGATTTAATCTCGATCTTAAAGCCTTCTCAGATTCTGATTGGGGCGGTGTAACTAATGGTGGTCGATCTACAACAGCATATATTATATATCTTGGATCCAACATCGTCTCTTGGCGTTCATCACGTCAAAAATCGGTCTCCCGTTCGTCAACTGAGGCTGAGTACAAGGCATTAGCTAATGCTGCTGCTGAAGTCACATGGGTTCAACATCTGTTACATGATCTTGGTCTAAAATCCACTGCACCACCTACCTTGCTTTGTGACAACACTGGTGCCACGTATGTATGCGCCAATCCAGTATATCACTCCCGGATGAAGCATGTTGCCTTAGACTACCATTTTGTGCGTGAACGGGTACAAGATGGCTCGTTACGTGTTCTACATATCAACTCCTCTGATCCGCTTACTGATGCTCTCACCAAGCCTTTAGGACGCACAGTCTTTCTATCTCTTCGTTCCAATATTGGAGTCTTCGATGGATCCTCCATCTTGCGGGGGTGTATTACGAAGATCACAAAATAAAGCTTACACATGTATAGTCTTAGCTGTCATCTAACTGTACATAGCCTGTCATATTAGTATTAATGTTTTCCTGTAATAGCTCCTCAATTAGCTCTTTTCCATGTATGTATTATTGGCTATAAAAGCCACTGTAAAGATCAATAATAATATAAGCATTTTCCAGTATCACCAATACCTTCATACTAACATGGTTAGAGATCTTACTACGAGAACTTCGTATTCCTATATCTACTACTCCGAACCTATGGTGTGATAATTTGGGTGCTACATATTTGTCTGCAAATCCTGTCTTCCATGCACACACAAAGCATGTGGAAGTTGATTTCCACTTTGTCAGGGAAAAAGTTGCTCAGGGGAGATTGTCTGTGCAACATATCTCAACACAAGACCAGATAGTTGATGTGTTTACAAAGCCTCTAGCTGTTGAGAGATTCCTCTTCTTGAAGTCAAAGCTAAGAGTCCGTAATGGGCCTTAGCATGCGGGGGAATATTAGACTATTATTATATGAAGATATAATTAGATATAATTAGAGGGTTTAATGTGTAACATTGTATTATATAAATACCTCCTGTAATTATCATTCACGATCAAAAAAACAATACAAAGAGATCCAAGTCTCTTAGGGGTGGTAAACAAAGGTAATTTGCGCTTGACTTTGTTTTTTAGAGTTGATATTTTTCTTTTTGGTGCTATATGAACTTAGTGTTATTTTGGTCCAAATTGGATGTTTGCCTCCTACTGTTGAATCCTGAGTTTCTAATCACTTGCCCCTAATGAAGAGTATGACCACTTTTTAAAAATCGATGCTTGCATTCTATTACAGGGTAAAAAAAAATCTGTTTTTAACAGTGAAATAAACATTTAAAAAATTCTTGAAATTTTTTGACAGTCGGTGTACATTATAGTGAATAAAGTTGATATTCTGGATTTAGTGATGGAAACAGCAAAAGACTACCAAGAAATGAGAACTGAGAAGTCTGGAATCTTCGAAGAGTCAATATATCTAATCTTGAAACTGGAAATAAAGTTGAAATCATATTTTGTCCAATTTTTTGTTTTATGTTTGTGTTTGATGTATGTTTGCATCTGATTTGGATTTAAATGTTCTATATTTGATTTCAGTTTATGTTTTATAGTTAAGATATGATATTTAATTATTTACTGATTTTTTGTTCTTTTTATCTCGAGTTTTACTAAATTTTGCATGTTTCGTGTGTCAAGATGAATGTTTGAAGAAAATCATGAGTTTAGCAGTTTAGGTATGTATTGCCCCTGTTTCAATTTATTTTCATTTATGGGTTTTCATGTTATATATATCCATCTAGGTTTGTGTTATCTCCTATTTCAATTATATCATAATTTTTTAATTTCCAAGATTCATGTCTTGTAGATTGGGAACAACCATTCAATTGAATTCACTAAATCCTGTAGAGAATAAGCCAGTTCCCAATAATATAAAATATACATTGTACACAGGTATATGATGTTGAACACGACTCTTTGTATGGGAAACAACAAGACTTTTATTAAGACACTTAAGAAGACCTTACACTTTGTGAGACTACTACACACTTTGCTTTCTTTGAGGCTTTCTTGGATGGTTTGGAGCAAATGAGCTCCATACCTATTTATAGGCCTCTTAGGAAGATTCTAGATACTAGCATACACTTACTACATACTAGATAACTCTAGAACATACTCTACATCCTTCCATATGTTTCTAGAACATTCTACCATGTTCTGGAGAAGTCTAGGTTGCTCCAGTGTCTTCTAGAATGATCCATAACCTTCCAGGGTCTTCCATGTCGTTCTAGAGTATTCTAGACTCTTCCGGTATATTCCAGAGTCTTCCATAGTCTTCCATAATGTTCTAGAATCTTCTAGAGCATTCTAGAACAAGCTAAAGTTTTCTAAATAATATTTTTTTTATTGGGCTAGTGATGATCTTTAACACTCCCCCTCAACACTAGCCCTCATTCTTCGTACCATGTTAAGCTGACAGCGAAAACCTTCACATTTTCCAGTACTCAGCCCTTTGGTGAACAAGTCTGCTATTTGGTCATCGGTCTTGATCTGCCGCATCTCAATTTCTTCCATCAAGACTTTTTCTCTGATAAAGTGATAATGCACTTCCACATGCTTTGTTCTAGCATGAAATACTGGATTTTCTGCCAGCCGAATTGCAGATTGGTTGTCACAGTGAAGTGGTACTGCATAGTCAACTTTTTGATGTAAGTCCTCCATTAGGAGTACCAACCATGTACTTTCTTGAGCTGCTACAGCCGCTGCTTTGTACTCCGCTTCCGTGGTTGACAATGATACTGTTGGTTGTCTTTTACTACACCATGATATTGGTCCTGACCCAAGCTTGAACACATACCCAGTGGTTGATCTTCGGGTATCATGGTCTCCTGCATAGTCAGCATCACAATATCCAACCAACTTGCAGTCTTCTCCTCTTTTATACAAGAGACCATAGTCAATTGTACCTTTGACATATCTCAAGATCCGTCGGGCAGCATCCAAATGAGGTTTCTTCGGACTTTGCATGTATCGACTCATAACTCCAACTGCATAAGCAATGTCAGGCCGAGATAAAGTTAGGTAGATAAGACTACCTACTAGTTGTCGATACATCGTTCCATCGTCCAACTCTTTTCCTTCATGAGCACATATCTTGGCATTTGGCTCTATTGGTGTTGATATTGGCTTACACTCCAACATGCCAAACTTTTGAAGTATATCTCTTGTATACTTTTGTTGGCAGAGGAACAACCCTTCCTTTGTACGATCAACTTCTAACCCCAAGAAGTGTTTAAGTTCCCCCAGCTCTTTCATTTGGAATCGCACCGATAGATTTTCTCTTGTTTGATGGATTTCTCTTTCGTCATCCCCGGTGATGATCAAGTCATCCACATAAACCAACACAATTGCCAACTTCCCTTCTTTTTCTTTGATGAATAGGCTTGAGTCTGCATGTGCAACTAAATAATCACTTCGGGTAAGAAATTCAGCAATCTTACCATACCAGGCTCTTGGTGCCTGCTTCAATCCGTAAAGAGCTTTTCTCAACTTGCACACATGATTGGGATTAACTTCATCCTCAAATCCCTTTGGTTGGTTCATGTAGATCTCCCGATCTAATTCTCCATGCAAGAAAGCATTCTTCACATCCATCTGCCATAATTTCCAGTCTTTACTAGCTGCAAGAGCTAACAACACCCGTACAGTAGTTATCTTCGCCACTGGACTAAATGTTTCATCATAGTCCAATCCATATTGTTGTGAGAACCCTCGAGCCACCAGACGAGCCTTGTATCTCTCAATTGATCCATCTGGGCGACGCTTTATTTTATAAACCCACT